TGAAGGCACACACATAAGGGGTATTTTCCTAGTGCGCTGAAGGCACGCACAGAGGGAACTGCTGGAATGATACTTGTGGACTCAAAGTTTGATCAAAGAGTTCGAAACACCCAATCGAAGCTTACTAATCAAAGCATGATCAAAGAGTGCCAAAAACCTAATCGAAGTACCTTGTTCATATGCCAATCGAAAGACACTTGATTATCTTCAAAAAAATTATATTTTCTCTAAGCAAGTGTTTGTAACCACCCATGTAAGAGACAATCTTGGAAAACAGGAGAGGGAAAATTTTGGGGTAAAACACTAGGGCACAATGATGATGACCCATAGGTTTCCCTAGGCGCGTGCCTGCTCACAAGCTAGCGAAGCTACCTATAAATGGGAGAGAGGAAGCTACATTTGCACTTTTCTGCTTGTTTCCTTCTGCCTGTTTCTGCTAGTTATGAAAAGTGTTGTCATTCATCACTGAAGTTTCTGCTTGTTCCATCGTCAATCTTCCCCAGCCTAGTAAGTTCCTTGATTTTTCCTTGTTTATGTGAAATTCATACCTGTTCTAGGTTAGATTTTCTGATTTTACTTATAGAGATACATACAATTAGGATTAAAGTAGCTTTATTATGGAAATTTCTGGTGGTTCTACCACATGAGGATGCTGGCTCCACCATGAATCCTTTGGGAATGTCTAGCGTTAAGGCTGAAAACGGTGAGTTGTGATGAGCTTTTGGGCCATTTTGGGGTTTCTGTGATGATCTTCACACCTTTTCTTATGAAACCTTAAGTGAGGTTCGAGACCCAATTGTCAGAGATATTATTCCTGGCGCGGGCAAGGGCTTATCCTGGTGGATTGGCGCCTAACACATTAGAGGGAATCGTCCTTGTGTCGTCTTTTGCTGCTTAAGTGAGGGCCCTGGTCGGGGACAAGGTCCTTGTTCCTTTGCATGCCCTTTCATTTTATTTGCGGTGGAAGGGTGGATTTGATTTGATGTTGAATTTACTTTCGTCCTCTACTATTCAGGTAAAATGGCTAGTAGCGCTGAAGGTGAAGTTATGCGCGAGCAAAGTGAAATCCAATAGAGTTCGTCCAAGCATACTTCGACTGAAGAGAGTATGTCATAGAAGTAAGGCATTGAGCCGAGCACGTTGGGACAAATTCAATCTGAGAAGAATGTGCCCAAGGCCCATGTGGCTTCCATGGATTGGGTCGCACCAGGTCCTCGAGAGATTTCCTCCTGCTTCACTGAGAATCCAGATGAAGTGTTTACAATTATGGCTGCAGGGATGGAGCAAGAGAGTTTTGAGGAGGAATGGGTTATCTACATCCCCGGGAAGCGTCATTTCATCTAATCGAAGTATGATGTATATCATTTCCCTATGTACGAGATCCTTTTCAGGGACATGGGTTTGTAGCTTCCCTTCACTGACCTACAAGTGGCCATTTTTAACTATCTCTGTCTTGTTCCCTTGCAACTTCACCCCAACTTAATAGTCTTCATACGTGATTTTGAGATTACGTGCAATTATTTGAATATTGAGGCCACTGTCCCTTTATTCTTCTACTTATTTTACCTTCAGAGAGGCACAATTAGAAATCAGTTTGGATGGGTCTCCTTGAAGAAGTCTAACGGGAATCTATTCAAGGCCTACCTTGAGTCTGTATGACACTTCAAGAACAGGTACTTGTTGGTCCAATCTCTGTCGGAGAAGTAAATTCTGAATGTTTTCATGAGTGTGCCCAAGTGGGGTGAGGAAGGGGAGTCGATGCTGACTGAGGAGGGTGAACCAAGGAGGAAGTTGGTGCATAGGTTTAACTTTAACTAGAACATGGATAATTTTGATCATGAGATCGATCATTACACTGTGAAGGCAGACTATTTGAACCCTGAAGACCAAGCTAGTTACGACCAACTGGTGGCCTTTGTAGAGGGTATATCCTAGTTTACCGACTGGGAAAAGGGGAAAGGTCCTCATCGACAGGGAGGGGAAACTTGTGTTTGAGCCCGATCTTATTAACATCAAGGAGCTCCTCTAATGCGATGAGCCTTTGAAATATTTAGGTAGTCTTTTTGTTTTTTTGACCAGCCCTTACTCTGATATCCATGTTTTTCTAATCCGTGTTTGTTTTATTGCAAAGAAAATGTCCATTCCTTAGGAGCACATGCTCAAGAATACTGCAGCTAGGGCCAAGAAAGAACATAAAGGGATTGCAAAAAGTATTTTCGTTGCTAATGGACCAGGAGCGCCTCCAATAGGGTTATGGACTTCTTCATCAAGACTGGTTGCTGGGAAAGCTTCTCCTCTTTCGGTGAGCTTGAGGACCAAGAGACCTCATTCAGATGACCTGATAGATCTGACCGGGGAGCAAGGTCCTGGGAAATTCAAGGTGCCCCCTGCTTTCACAACAAAACTCTCTTTGAAAGAGGTTCCTTGGAGGTCCACCGGGCAGAGTCCCAATTATACAGGTAAATGGATCTTCTGAGCAAGAGGGCTCTGTTGGCTCAGGACACTACTGCTCTGATGAAAATCCTAGGTGTGGCGGTGATCCATACCGAGGAGGGGAGCACTAAGGAGCTGTAGTTGAAGAAAGCCCGTGAGGAGAACAAGACTACTGAGGGGAGGTTGAAGAATGTCAGGGATAAACTCGAGGAAGTGGTGAAGGCGAGGAAGGCCATGGTTGAGGAGAAGGATGCTTGGGTGGCCGAGAAGAAAAATCTTGAGGAAGAGGTGAAAGGGCTCAAGTCCGCCATGGCCCCTAACGAGGAGGAGCTGAAGGGTGTCAAGGGGATGACGACCCGAGCCGAGTTGTTGCTCGTATTTAATAGGCCGATGATGATGCCCCTGTGGATTCCGAGGATGGCTTTAAGAACATGGTGGCCCAAATTCATCTGGTGAACCCAAAAGTCGACCTTTCTTTGATGGGGATTAGCTTCCTTCATCAAATGGTCATCCCTGACTTCCTTCTAGCAGCCGAAGGTTACGCGGCCAATTCCCTAGAGGTGCTGGTACAACTGCAGCCCGACACCGAAGGAGCCTGTCACTTAATTGGAGCTTTTTATTTCTTTGTTATGTTCTCCCTGCGTGCCGTTTTTGTTGTAACTAGTTTCAGGGGATTTGCCCGTTTTTATGTAATTCCCAAACAATCGTGGTCCTCGTGGCCACTTATTTGTTTCTTTGGATGGGGGCCTTGGGCTCCTTTTATGTAATTGTAGCGATAAAAAATGTAGCGGGGTAAATCGGAGATCGAGCTATTAATTAACCCGTCTCACAAAATCAAGATTCGCCACCGCGCTTTATTATTTCCAAGGGAAAAGGGAAAAGAGCGAAATAAAACCCGAAAATATGCAATGTAAAATAATACTTAAAAGTAATGAAAATACAAGGCGTTTTGAAAAGAGATCTAGAGTTTGGAGGTTGGTTATACAATGGGAAGGTATTAGCACCCAATGCATCTATAGTATCCTATAGGAACCTTTTGAAATATCTGTTTATTAAAATTGTTTGTTTGATTAAAAATAGCTTGTTTGGCCAAAAATGGGTATGGACGAGATTTTGAAGATACAACGACCTAACGTCGAAGTTTTAACTTAAAAGGTGTGAGTTTGAAAATTGAATCTTTGGAAAAATTATCTTAAGTTTTTAGCAAAATAATAAACGAAGATGAATGAGGGTATTCGCACGATTAGATGAGACGTTTTTGATGACATGAAGTCAACAAAGTTAAAACATTTCCCTTGGATTTGAGATGGACGAAAGATATAAGGATTAACGATCGATGACAAAATTAATTAAAATGACAATTGAACAATTAAATAATGAAAATTAAATTATACTAACATGCATTTTAAACGATTAAATAAATAACCAAAAGTACATAAAGATTAAATTACAATATCATGGATTTTTAACATTTAAACGAATAGCAAAAATTGAATAATAAAAACTAACATATGTATTTTTTTTGAATAATTAAATAAAAGATTGATAACATATTAAAAAAAATTAAATAAAGATTAGTTTATAAAAGCGTATTTTTTATGTTTTTTATAATAATTATAACAAGATAGAATAATAAAGGAGATAATGCTAAAAGAAATAACAAAAACATCCCAGCCTAGACTTGAACCCGTGTCCCTCATGAATTATTATCAACTACCTTTCCAAATGAACTATGATGTTTATTCATTAAATCCATGCTTCTATTAGTAAATAAAAGAAAATTGGTAAAGATGCTGGACCAACAGGCCCAATGGGCCGACCCGCTTTGAAAAGGACAAGAAAGAAAAATGAAAACCCTAAGTGTATGTTGAAAGGCGCGGCGGCTAGTGCGTTGGAAAATAAGAAAACATTAAATAAACATTATTATTGTTTTATCCAATAAATCTGATGGCCACGCTTTACTGTGAGAAGAAAAAAAAACAAAAGTTAACATCTTCTCCAACCTATTCACAGATATCTATCTTCTTTCCTTCTCTTTCTCATTACCAGTCTCCCTAAGATAAAAGGCTGATGAAGATAAATGGGTGATGTTATTGATGTGAGGATGAAGCGGCGATGGAGGGAGAGATTTCTGAGGTGGCCGAATGCGGAGATGCGACGGAAGGAGTAAGTGGGAGCAAAGACGAACAAAATCTAAGAACAGATCTGTGAGCAACAAGATGAATCGAACACGGAGGCCATCCGAATCGCGATTGGATGGTGGAGGAGATCGTGCTTTCGCAAGGTAAGACGAGAGAGAGTGGCGACAATGGACGGTGGTTGGTGAATGTTGTTAGATCGGAAACAGCATCAGCTAGGCGGAGATGGAGTGGGTTAGAAAAGAACTGGAATTTTTTGGTTAGGTTTCAAGGATAATCTTTTGTGTCTGTTGAACAGGGTGGATGCACTTTTGGTGTTTTGAGCAGAAGCTTGTTGGTCAAAAACTTCAACAGATCCACAACTGGCTCATCAGCTATAGTATTCTCTTGCTTGAATGTCAAGTTGGAAATCATCTTAACCCCAGCCTCTCAGGTGAATGGCATATCAAAATCATGTAGCAGATTTATGTTTCCTTTTGTTCTGAAACTTGCAACGACCAAGTTCCCCATTTCGAGTTGAGAAACAGCGCGACATACTGTAACCAAAGCTTCAACTGCAACGTCACCACAGCAGGTCTCCGACATGCTATGTGAATCATCAACAACAATCACAACTTGGTAATCACGTTTGTTGGGTCTGGTCCGCCTAAGCCATATTTTATCCTTACGATAATAACTTGTTATGTATTGTATAACCTTCATATTTATCCTTCTGCCGGTTTTAAGATTGTTAACAGGTTCTATGGTTTTTTTAACAAGTTCTATGTTTTGTACAAGTTAAGGTTTTGACAGGTTAAGGTTTTGACAGGTTAAGGTGGTTTTAACAGTAGGTTCTAAGTTTTGTAACAACAGGTTCTAAGATTTGATAGTTTCTATGTTTTAACCGGTTCTAAGTGTTTATAGGTTCTATTGTTATAGTTGTATGGGAAAGGCATAGCAAAAGCAAATTCTGTAATCTAGTTCTGTTTTTTCTTTATTCAGATTTCTATTCTTCTAATTTTAAGAACGCATTTACATTTGGGAATCTCTTCTGTTGAGCAGAAATGGTTGCAGGTTGTCGATTGGTGGTTGTTAGAGGAAGGGATAGAAATTGTTGTAACGCGACGGAAGGAGTAAGGTTCTTTCATTATACTCATTGTTATTACTATTATTATGAATCCTACACATGCTTAAACGCTAACAATCATGCAGCAACTCTAAAAATACAGCAAGTCAAATAATCATATGGCATGGAAGTGAGGCAAAGAAGACTAAAATATATGAAGGAGAAAATTATGCATAAATAAATAAAGAGGAATAAGAAATACCTATCGGAGTCTCTCCGATGGAGCTTCAAAACCGTAAGTTTTTCCTCTTTTCCTGTTTTTTCTTCTTGCTGAATTTTTAGAACAAAACTAATATGTTTTTCTGTTTTCACTCTCTTGTTGGATTGTTGGACAAAACTCTCTTTTCTGTTTCCACTCTCTTGCTGAATTTTTTTGGATTTCCTTCTTGTGTTGATGAAAGCCTCTATTTATAGTGAAATGTGTGGGGTTTTAGGGGGAAAATAGTAGAAGTTTGAACTATTCTAGGCCCTGTTTTGATGTTTTATGGGATAGCTTTTTGAAGTATCCATTTTAGTGCAATATTTGGAGCTTTGAAAACTGTTTTTTGTAACAGCAAAATGTGTAGATTTTTGTCTTATGGGCTGCATTCTGGACTATTTTGTAGGGCAGATTTGGACCGCAACTTGGCATGGTCTTTGTTGACACAATGTTGAAGAAAATGGACAGCACTACACTCAAAAAATGGACTGTTATGGATTAATATAGTACTGGAAAAATGGGCAGCATTGGGACTGTTTTGTAGCAAGAATAATAGTTGATTTTCATGTACAAAACTTGTATTTTATTTTGTAACTTTGTAACAATAAGTCCAAATAAATTGTAACGTGAATAAACATGTATTCTTCAATATATTCTCAATTTCTTTTGTAGTTATAAATAAACTTGAATCTTCATATGATCATGAATCTTGATATGTCTTGATAAAAATTCAAGGCCTTCCATTTGAATTGGGAAAGAGTTGAACAATACTTGAATAAATTGTTGAATGATGAATAAATAATAATGCAAGTCTTAAACTTTAATCTTGCATTTTTGTAATAGAGATCCAAATAAATCACATGAATTGATTTTGTAATCAAATAGAAATCCTCATGTAATTAATCTTGTGATGACCGATTAATTGGATCAAATTCCTTTTCCCACTAACTTCTTGAATAAATGCTTCATGTAAGTCTACCAAAATAATCACAAAAATAATCTTGAATAAATATTTCATGCGATAAATGATTATTCTTGGATGAGATCTCTTGGTAGCTCCTCTTTAATTATCACTTGAATTTAATTATCCCATTTTGGTGAAATTCATCCCGCGTCATGAGAAAATTTGCAGATGGCTTTTGGTCAAAGAAATCAAAAATGACGGTGTAGCCTGGTTTTTCTTATATCTTAGAATAATGTGAAACACACATGAACCAAAGACAATAGAACTTCGAGCGTTCTTTCTAAAAAAAATATTCAGAGAAACTGGAGACCATCTGTTGGACAGAGTGTGGAAATAAACGCACAATTCTCTGAAATTCTTTTGATGAATCAGCTTTGGGAATTAACGACCGACCGCATTTCTGCTTTGAGACTCGAAACCCTAATCGATGTACTACGTCCGATGCTCTTCTTTCAGACCCATTTCCTGCACATGAAAACAAAACAACAAAACATACACTTCGTGCTTGATTAGTGGTTAGTCATTCATAAGATGAAATGCTCACAACACTTGATAATCTCTACACGGTCAAAGCCCGAAAGAGAAACGTTTGAAACCTACCATATTCGGTGACCTTGATGTAATGCAAATGAAATAGGGATCTTAGGTCAAAAATTGGGGTATGACAGCTGCCCCTATTTAAGTTTCTTCTATCCGGAGATATGAAGATGGAACTCTTCGTCTCGACGAGATTGAAGGTACTTAAATACATAATACGCAATTTTTGCCCTAAGATACCGCCATTATGTTTATGATATGGATGTAGTATTTAACTTTACGGAGAATGATACTGTGCGAGACAAAATAATGTTGGAGAAACCAATCACAAATAATCCACAAGAACGGAGATTATACACTACTGGAGAAATGAGCCATCGACTCCGAATGATAGACTCTTAACGGAGCATAAAATTTGAGAGAAGACAACTTTTAACCCTGACAAAGAAGACGCCTTGCATAGGCCACGAAAAAATAGATTATTGACCCAAGATGATGGTGAGTTCACAACTCAAGGTCAAAGACAGACAAAAGATGTATCAATATTTACTGATAGTGAACTACCGTCTTCTGAAGGTAGAGGTTTCGTAACAAACTTCTCCATGAGACTTTTCCAAAGAGATACCAATTGATGCTAAAATAATATATGGTTGTAGATACACAAGCTGCTCAAATAAAGAAGCCACTACTTGCTGTCTTCAAAGGATGTCTATAACATACAAGCTGCTCAAATAAAGAAGTCGTCACTTGTTGTCTTCCAAGAATGTCTATAACATACAAGCTGCTCAAATAAATAAGCCGCCACTTGCTGTCTTCCAAGAATGTTTATAACATACAAGCTGCTCAAATAAAGAAGCCGCCACTTGATGTCTTCCAAGAAAACTATAATGCCCAAGTTGCTCAAATAAAGAGATCGCCGCTTGTCATTGTCCAAAGATGTCAATAACACACAAGTTGCTCATGAAGAGACCGCCGCTCGTCGTTTTCCAAAGATGTCAATAACGCACAAGTTTCTCATGAAGAGACCGTCGTTTGTCGTTTTCCAAAGATGTCAATAACACAGAAGTTGCTCATGAAGAGACCGCCGCTTGTCCTTTTCCAAAGAAGTTAATAACGCACAAGTTGCTCATGAAGAGACCGTCGCTTATCGTTTTCCAAAGAAGTCAATAACGCACAAGTTGCTCATGAAGAGACCGCCGCTTGTCGTTTTTCAAAGATGTCAATAACGCACAAGTTGCTCATGAAGAGACCGCCGCTTATCGTTTTCCAAAGAAGTCTCAGAAGAAAGTTGTGATAACACTGCCAGAGAATACAATTCTTATTCATAGGAAACCATGAATAGATCCTTCCTGAGGAGATCAGATACTCAAATGCGCAAAATAAATGCACCATTCATCTAGGTTGCCTAGCCTGGAGAAAACCACGAGATAGCCTATGCAAGAGACAAAAACTCAATCCAGGAATAAACCAGAGAGAAGACAGTCAAACAAGACTCCACCCAATGAGAAAATAACTCAATTGGGGATTCATCCTATCCCGAGATGGACAAGGAAGGCTAAATCAAAAATTCATCCACGAGGATTAGCTCGGCTGGGGAATTAGAAAGGAAGCACATTTTCTGCCTAAGTTAACATTCTACTTTGGAAAGAACATGTACACTGTTTGAATAAACATAAAACAAGGTATATGACCCAAAATCATCGACAAATGTGAATATGTATGCATGATGTAAGTGTAAATGAGTAAATGGATGTTATGCTGACAAAACAGATTGAGGAAATAACTTGAAGACGATAAGATAACACAAAATAATTAGATACTCGGCCAATCTCAAAGAGACGAAGAGTAACTGGAACTGGAACAAAGGCAACGTCAGAGAAAATCACGCTACAAGGCTCAAGTCTTCTGGGGAGAAAAGTATTCAAATCCAATCTTCTAACACCAATAGACCACTGACATGATACAACATGTACTACACTTCAGAAATTTGCTCAAATAAAGATAACCGAAACAAAGCTTAATCGGAAATGCTGGGGAGTCACCAAGCTTAGTACTATACTGGAAACACAAGTTTACACAACCAACACCTCATGACGATTTTGAAAGAAAACAAGTTCATCATACAAGGATGAATTACTGTATTGCTTTGCATTTCATGGCTTAACCATCCTCGGAACAACTGTTAATATTCCTTCTAGTATTCATGACACATTTCAAAATAGAAATACTTTTAACTTCGTTTCGAATATTGCCATAAAAGCTAAAATTTTGCCCACAAAAAGATAAATGCTCAAATTTCATTAATAAGATGGTAGTTCGCTAACAATGCGACTCCAATGGTTTACAAAAATTTGGGAAATAGTACATGAAAGAAAAAGGTTACACAAAAACAATGATCATTATTCTCCCTAACAACTTCGAATTCCGAAATGTTTCAAATGCCATGATTGGTCTGACCAAAAGCCTGCCTAAGCCTCCCCTTCGGGTTTTCAACTTAGCGAACTGTCAACTCAAACCTAGGCGAAATACTTCTTGACTGCATCGGCATTCACGGAGCGCGGGAGTTCTTCACCATCCATATTTGTGAGAATCATGGCGCCTCCAGAGAAAACCTTCTTAACAAAATACGGCCCATCATAATTCGGATCCCATTTACCCCTAGAATCAGGTTGGAAAGATAATATCTTCTTGAGCACGAGGTCACCTTCTCTGAATTCGCGTGGTCGGACCTTCTTATCAAAATCCTTCTTCATTCTTTGCTGATATAGTTGACCGTGACACAGCGCTGTCAATCTCTTTTCATCAATTAAATTCAACTGGTCATATCTACTTTGACACCATCCAGCCTCAGAAAGTTTAGCTTCCATCAAAACTCTCATAGACGGGATCTCAACCTC